CATATGTCAATTTCTTCCAATAATAAGCACAAAACAGGTGTCAAAATGGGATGGCAAAGGCAGGAAAGATAAAGGAGATGGTGGAAGACAGATTGTGTGAAAGAGCTGGGCTGTATGCGCAAGAATTGCGTGACAGATTTGTGTGTAAAAGAGCTGTGTGGGAAGAGTTGTGTGTGTGTGTGTGTGACCAAGCTGTGTGTGAAAGATTGGGCGTGACAAAGTTGTGTGCGCGTGTGTGTTTGAAAGATTGTGTGTGACAAAGTTGTGTATGAAAGATTGTGCGCGGCACATCACAGATGTGAAAATTCTATTTTCTACACTGTGAGGAATTTAGGGGGGCAGTGCACGACTGACAGACACTGCCCAACGAAGACACTGTCAGCTCGTGGCGATATGGAGTCTGATCAACTCCACATACCTGCGAATCATTGAATTTATTGCACTGAAACTGGCAAGCGGCTAAGCCAAGAACCGCAACAAGCATTTATTTTAGCAATCAGCGCGTGTGTATGGCGACCTGCTAAGCCAAGAACCGGACAGATGTTTATTTGTACGTTTGCCGGAATCTGATCTGTGATATTTCACTTACTCCTTTCCGGACTTGATGATGCTTGATGTCTACCTGGTATCTATTATTCAGTATATGGGGGCTTTGTAGTCAAGTTTCTGTTCACGATCACGATTATTGGAACTTCATCTTAAAGGTTGAATACTGCTACATGGAAGTCTTCCTTACAACAATAATCTTGTTTATTTGCACGTTTAGGGATTCAGTTCCCGACGGATCACTCTAATGATCCGGTTCTTTTCTAGTGTGTGACAACGTTGTGTGTGAAAGTTGTGTGGTGTGATAGATTGTGTGTGTGACAAAGAGTTGTGTGTGAAAGAGCTGTGTGAAAGAGCTGTGGGTGACAGAGTTGGGTGAGAAAGATTTATGAGTGTGTGACACGCAGTTTTAAATATGTTTCAATTCCATCAGCATGCAGGGGGATCATCCATGTACTGTGAACTTCCAACGAAGCGACCACAGTACATGCAGATATCACAGCTGATCACCATGGCGCACCTGCCATTTGATGCTTTTCTCTAAAATGGCGTGGGGCTAAGCTTAGAACCGCTGTGTTAGTTGTTGTGAGTTATAGATCAGAAATTTCTCCCAGGATGCTTTCCCAAGTTTTGAAACCTCAAGGCGTTGATTGCCACATCGTCAAAACGCCCCATTACTTTTCACATACTGTGTGTTCATGGGCGCTCAACAATTGGTTGCACCGTCTCTACGTTTCGCCGTGGATGAAAGTGATGGCCGTGATTAGAGAGGGATGCCGCCAACATCCTGAAGCCGTCTGCACTTCGAGCACAAGAGAGTTCTGAATGTCTAGGTGGACATTCCAAGTCCAACACGGAAACATTGGTAAGCCATATGGCGAAGTAGCCCTTATACCGTCAGGCTTTGAGCGAAGTGCCTACAAGGGAGAAGTAGCCATGAGGCCAAGTAATATTCTCATCGGTCCTAGCCTCACCCTCTCCCTCTTCCGGCGCGGCCCTGGATACAGGAGTATAGCTGGGTCCATCTCTCTTTCTGCCTCGCTTTTGCGCCCCTTCCCACCCACCCGGTCCCCTCTCTCCCCCTCCCAGGAGTGTGTTTGTTCCTTCCCTTTGCTGTCCTGCTTCAATTGCGTCGCTGCTGGTTGGTTTTGCTTTGTTGCGTGTTTTGCTTTGCGCTCTTGCTCTTCTTGGTTGTGGCTGGCTGTCCTTGTTCCCTCCCTCCTTCCCTCCCCCCGCTTGTGTGTGTGCGCGGGTGAAACCCCAAAGTCCAGATCTGTTGGGGCTGATGTTTTTCTACTTCCTGAACTGTTCACTGTCAGAAACCGACAGGATATTGTCACATTTCTGAAACGTTTGATGCAGTGTCATTCCGTAGAGCATGTGATGCAGTGGTGTTAGTACGTAAAATAGTTTGCTGGGCATCACGGTTTGCACCTCACAGTGAGATTCTATGTGTGTGTGCAAACACTGCTAGTCACATGCAGTTTTAAAAATGTTTCGATTTCATCAACATGCAGGGGGGCCATCCATGCACTGTGAACTTCCAACGAAGCGGCCACAGTAAATGCGGATATCACGGCTGATCACCGTGATGCACCTGCCATTTGATGTTTTTCTCTGAAATGGCGTGCAACTAAGCTTGGAACCCCTGTGTTAGTTCTTGATCAGAATTTTCACCCAGGATGCTTTCCCAAGTTTTGAGACCTCAAGGCGTGGAGCAGAATTGTATCTAAAAGGGTTGTGTGATAGATTTGCTTCAATTTTCTATTGGTTTTCTTCATTTTTCACTGGTTTTCTTTGATTTCTTCACTTTTTTCATTTGTTTTCGTTGCTTCTCTTCATTTTTTCATTGGTTTCCTTCATTTTTTGAATAGTTTTCTTTGAATTTATCATTTTTCCAATTGTTTTCTTCACTTGTTCAATGGATTTATTGATTTCATGCTAGAAAATTAAAGAAAATTTCGAAAAATTAAAGAACAACATCAAAAATTGTAGAAAATGATAGGAAAATGATAGAAAAATGACAGAAAAATGACAAAAAATGATAAAAACCCAAGGTTTTTAACAATTTTCATTTTGTTTCTTGTTCATGAAGCTTTGTCATTTTTTTTGTCATTTTTTTGTCATTTTTTGTATTTTTTTTTGTCATTTTTTGTATTTTTTTGTCATTTTTTGTCATTTTTTTGTCATGTTTCATTGATTTCCTTCATTTTTCATGCTTTTCCTGTATTTTTCTAATTTTTCAATGGTTTTTCCTTGATTTTCTTCAATTTTCTATCGGTTTTCTTCATTTTTCACTTGTTTTCTTTGATTTCTTCACTTTTTCATTTGTTTTCTTTGTTTCTCTTTAATTTGTTCATTGGTTTCCTTCATTTTTTCAATAGTTTTCTTTGAATTTCTCATTTTTTCAACTGTTTTCTTCACTTTCTCAATGGATTTATTGATTTCATGCTAGAAAATTAGAAAAAAATCGAACAATTAAAGAAAATCATCAAACATTGTAGAAAATGATAGGAAAATTATAGAAAAATGACAAAAAAATGACAGGGACAAGGGACAGGACCAAAACAAAAAACAACAAAAAAATGACAAAAAAATGACAGAAAAATGACAGGGACAAATGACAGGACAAAAAAAAACGACAGAAGCAAATGACAAAAAAATGACAATGCAAACGACAAAATAATTATTTTCATGTACCCCAGTGTGTGGCTGCAAGTGCCTTCTAACCACACAAAAGCCACGGCAACGTCACCATGCGCCACACCTGCACCAAGCGCCGCGCCTGCCACACACAAGCACCGTCAATGACACCAAAGGCCCCGCTTGCCACACAAAAAGACCGTGGCATCACTGGCGACCAAGCGCGCCACCAGAGCCAGCCCAGCGTCGCGCCGCGCCTGCCACACAAAAACATCATCAATGCCACCACATGCTGCACAAGGCGTCACGGGCGACCAGGCGCGCCACCAGACCCAGCCCTGCCGTATCTGAGCGCCACGCTTTCCACACAAAAGTGACGTCCATGTCACCAAATGCCACGCCTGCCACGCAAAAGTGACCCCGATGTCACCAAATGCCATGCCTGCCACACAAAGTGCTGCGGTGTGACAAGTTTGCGCGTGACAAAGTTGTGGGAATGTGTTATCTGTGAAAGAGTCGTGTGTGTGTGTGACAAAGTTGCGCACAAAAAAATGTGCGTGTGTGTGAAAGAGTTGTGTGTGACAATGATGTGTGTGACAGTGTTGTGTGACAATGTTGCGCGCGTGTCACAGAGTTGTGTGTGTGACAAAGCTGTATGTGAAAGAAATGTGTGTCTGTGTGAAAGAGTTGTGTGTGTGTGTGACAAAGTTGGGGGTTACAAAGTTGCGTGTGACAATGGTCTGTGCGCGCGAAAGATTTGACAATTGTGTGTGTGTGTAAGAAGTATGTGTGACAATGGCGTGTGTGTGTGTGAAACAGTTGTGTGTATGTGTGTGTGTGACAATGTTGTACGCGTGTGTGTATGTAAGAGTTGTGTGTGTGTGCGTGACAAAGGTGTGTGTGTGTGACAATGATGTGCGTGTGTGTGTGTGTTTTTTTTCCACGCTCCTTTTTCTGGTGTCAGAATTGGCGCTCGCCCTTCAGATGGAATTCATCTGGTTCTCACTTTCGAGAAGCTATCCCTATGGCCGCAGCTGCCTGTTGCACCAATGGGGAAAAAGTGCAACAGCTGATGGTGTGAAAAGAAGTGGAGCTACGATCTATGTCTCGCGCGGCTCTGGACACACGGGTGTGGTCACTTTGGCCGTCCAGCGTCACCTACCGCTGTGAAGCAACAAAATTGTTTTTTTTTTTTGGCATCTTCTGGGGCCTTAATATCAGGGGTGACACTCCGGGCTTCGGAGGGCATGCAAAGGGACAGGGGGATCTATCGGCCGGGGAGGCCGGGTGCAAATGAAACCGGCATGGTTCTCAGGCAAAAGGTCTGTGCAGGGATGGTTCATGGATTGGTAATGGCGACCCAGCCTAGGCGTCAATCAGGTCAGCTGTCCAGCTGGGCAAATGGAAAGCAAATGGAAAGGTCCGGCCAAAATGGCTGCGGCACTGCAAAAGGCAACTATTATGTTGGAAGTCCTCCATGGTGGCATTCCAGGTGACGGTTCATTTGACCTTGGAGGGTCTGGTGGCAAAATGCCAATGGTGCAAACAGCATGGCAAAGGCACTGGAAGTCTAGCAAAATGCCGCATCCCACTGCCAGCAGGCAAAATGCCTGTACGCATGCTATGGGTGAAAACCTGAAATGCAAGGGTTGAAACCTGCGGACATGGACATGGTGAGACAACGGACCGGGACAGGTCCCCTTTTTTTCCTCAGCTGATCAGGATCCGGAAGGGCACACTCTGGGTTTCAGAGGGCCTGAAAGAGGGTCGGGGACAAGCCAACCGGGCGGTTGGGTGCAATCCAGGTGATGTCAGGGCTCGGGATCTGGCTGCGTGGCCAACAACGTCAACAGATCGGCCTCATGGCTGGGTGCGCTGTCCGTGGCAGGGGACAGCTTATGGACTTCAACCCGGTCTGAGCGGCACAACCACAGGCATGTGATGCCCTGTGCAAACAAAGCCGGCACTGTCAGAATCCTATATGGAGTCCTGCCATCATCACACATCATCCACATGGACGGGTTGGCAATGTCAGACACCTCTGGAAAAGTACGAAGGATGGTTTGATAGTGTCCATTCTGTGCTGTACCCAAATGTGAGATGCAAGCAATCACTGTGAAAGATGTCCACATGCATGTGCAATCCTGGGCCGTCAAAACAGGTACCTGCACTTCCCAGCCAAAATTGATGGCAGCCTGGCATTTGCTGAGTCTGCCAGAGGGGGCCTGAACCAGTCTGTCGATGTGCAGGAGGAGCAATTCCTCGGGGTCCGTGAGTCCCGCCACCATTCCAAGCTCCGTGTGCCAAGACCTGAGCAGGGTCGATAGGCTGATCTCATTTTGCTCAACCAACTGTGGATCAATTTGCAGAGTCAATGGCATGTACTTGTCACCAGCATCATGTCGCACCAGGTTTTGGCCTGTCTGCACTCGACGCTCCCAGCAATTGGAAATGGCCGGCATGGCTGTCCAGCTGGAGAGCATATGCACAAACTCTGCACTGTCAGCCTGTTCCCCTTCCTCATTCCAACCCTCCATTAAATGTTGGAACCAGTCTTCATGATCCAATGAAAACAAAGTGCCATCAGTATGTTGGAGCGTTTGTTGGAGGATGGCTGATCGTGCGCCCCAATCCCTGAAGTGAAAAGCTGTCCTGGACAAGGTGGCCCAGATCATACTCACGTAGGCGCTATTGGCATAGCAGTTGTTCCCAGGGTTGTCCATGGCAAGGCCTAGGACGCGAGACCGCAGACATTGACGCGCAGTCTCATCTAGGATGTCGTTGGACCTTTCCCACGGCCGCGGCTCTTCCCCTGCGGTGCCTGTCCCTTGCCCAAGGTTTGTTGAAGGAGCATGGCCGGTTTCGAGAGGGATTGGGAATGCTGTTTGACCGACATTCCAAGCAACGACCACACTGTGTTGTGGCAAAGGTCCACAAGGACTTCCCAAGCCTCGTTCTCTCTGTGGTTGATCTGGAGGATCCATGGGATGGCGTCCTGGTTGTTGTTCCTGAGACTCTGAAATCTGGCCACGTGTGCATTGCTCTGCAGAAGGTCCTCCAGGAGCTGAAGATTCCGAAGCATCTGGGGCATGGCCACTGGAGGGCGAGCTGCTCGGACCAGCTGTTTGGACTCCGGTGCCCACTTCTGGAAGCTCCATCCTCCATCCGGTAGGATGGTGCCCTTGCTCACAGCCACCTCCCACAGCTGTTCGCCCTGCTTGCTGCTGGCCAGCTGTTGGACTCTGCGGTGCAGCTCCGTGATGACCCCCTTCAGGAGGTACGTTCTGAGATTGGGCCATCGGATGTTGTCCTTCTGCTGAGGCCACTCCTCGCGCCACTTGGATGCCATCGCCGTCAGGTGTGGGACAATTCCCTCTGGCCTGTTTTGGCAGAACAAAACGAAGCAATCCTGCCGTTGCGCGAGCTGGAGGCTCCGCTCGTGGCTGAGGATCAGTTGGCCCATCAACTTCAACAGGGGCATGATCATCTCGTTGTGTCCTTCGGAGCTTTGGCCGTCTTTGGCCTTGGCTTTGTGCCGTTTGGGTGGCTGCCCGTCGTCTTCTCCTTCTGGCTGTTTCCGTGTGCCCAGCAACAGGGGAGCCAATGCCTCCAGACCCGCCATCAAAGCTTGATCGTTGGGGTCCATCCAGGCGTCCATTGATCGGTTGCAGCAAAATAGCGATCTGGAGCACCACCGGGCAACTTGAGACAAAATGACTCTGTTGAACTTGTGATCGCATGTGCTCAGTTTCTGATGAGACTGCAGGCAAATTGAAGACTTGCTGACACAAATTGCATCTGTAATCCTGTTGCTGGAAACGTTGCAGGAGGTCATGCAACTGAAACGCAATCTGAGTGGCCCACGCACATGTCTGTGGGTGCACCGTGAGAAGGTGTCGCAGTAACTCAGCCGGCTGATAGTGACCCCCGCATGTCAGGCATCTGGAGCGCAGGGTCTGCAGAATCAGTGGATCAGTCCAAAGGCGATCAAACATCCTGGCAAGCAGTATGTCAGTTACTCGTTGGGCCAATGCGTCATCATGGAGGTATGACAGCTGCGTGGCCAAACTGGTCGCCTGAAACTGGGTTGGCACCAAGATCGGCACATCATTGCTGACCATCATCATTGCCACCTGGCGCAGGGGCGTGCAAATGTGAGCAAGACCAACTTCATGTGCCTGGGGGTTGCAGATGCACCCGCGAGAGGCCATCACCACCTGAAGGAGGTACCTCAGCATCTGTTGTGAATCATTCCACAGCGGCCCATGGGACTGGAGGAGATGCGCAACCAGATCTCCCGTGCGCATGTACTTCACCGCGCAGAACTGGCATGTGGTAGTCAACTGTAGCCGCTGGTGTGCCGTAAGACCAGTGGGTGAGAAATCACCGCTGCGCAACCATGTGCTCCACTGTGATGTGGTGTCCTGCGGATTCAGGGAGGCCAGAGGATCAAAAGCCTCGCATCTGCCTTCCGTGATGTGGCGTCTCAAGCCTGAGCGGCTATCGAACTGCAATGTGCAGTGTCGACATTGATTGCTGCCCTGTACAGAGTCTCTGGACGGGATCCAGTCACTCAGGGTTTGACCGTGCTCACGCGCCATGTGTTGATACATCTGACTATGATCATCGAACTGCTGCACGCAAATCTCACATGTGAGTTCTGTCTGTTGTCGGATGTCCGGTTCCTGCATTTGAAGCCGAAGAATGGCAACCTGTAAAGCCACAGGGCAACTATGAACACGGCTATAGGCTTTGTGGCACAGTTCACATGGAGATGACAGCTGCAGTACCTGAGTGAGTTGAGCTCCCTTGGCAACACCACCTTTGAGCTGGGCATCATGGTAGAGGCGGTAATGGCTGTGCAGTTCCTGGAAACGGTTGCACCATGTGCCGCAAATGGCACAGTGATGCGTCAGGTGTTCCAGGCAGGGCTCAAGGCGTTTGAGACCTGTCCAGTCATCCGTCTGTATGCAACGTTCCAGCTCAGGCCAAAACTGTTGGGCAGCTACCTGGTAGTGTCTGTGCACTTGGTCTACGGCTGGTGTAGGAGACATCTGCACATCTGGCTGTGGTGGTTCTGTCATCGATCTTCGTACCTGGCAACATGCACGTGGAACATGTACGAGGAAAGATTTCCATGTTGAAAAGACAAACAGGCAGTTATTACATTGCGGTTTGCCGTTAACTGTCATAGCCAAGGGTGATATGGATTCCGTCCGATAGCGTGGTTCACCATGTTGGGTCGTGAGGTGACGTCGCATGTTGGGAATGGAGTCTGTCATGAAATGGCAGTGAGGGCATTGCTGGCCCGCCTGTGTCCTGACTGGATCTTCAGGATTGACACTTATGGGCACCTCCGGTGCAGCCGTGATGAGACTTCGAATGAGCTGAAGCACATCATGCAGTGGCTGCCAATCCAGTTGATGCAGGAAGTCATGTGGCAACATATGGATGTCACGCCTCTGGATGCGTGTGAGCAGACCCATGGCCAGGGCTTGCAGCATTTCCAGTGGCTGATCTATGTGGTGAAACTGAAATGCTGACTGGTGTGATCGATGCGTTATGTAAGAGTGGTCATTCAGGATCGTTCGAACCATTTGGAAGATCGTGCCTTGAAATTCCATCAGCACTCGGATGTTGACGCCAGTGGACATGAGGCCGTATGTTAACACCGTATACACACATGTTTTCCACAAGTAAAAACGATTGGCTCTGCTGAGCTGTCTGCTTCTGAGCCATGCACGCAGGCGGGCAAATGCTGACCAACCAGCTTGTTTACGATGCTGCCATGTCAGGAGCTCAAAATTGTGGTAGCTGATCACTGCACCAAGGTAGGAGCCCTTGTTTCTCAATGGCAAGCACGTGTGGCGTCCACCAGCGCGTGGCACTTTGATGCTTACCCCATTGGGCAGTCTCTGCATCACTCCTTTGAGGGCATGACGTGTGTTTGTCCCGGCATATGCTATCAACATGTGGGATTTTGAGTAGGATAGGGACAGTTTCATGGATTCTATTACATCAAGGGCATGTCCAATGTTGGTCAAATGAGTTTGGAGTTCACCTTTGGATCGAAACTGGCAGCCTACATGTACATCGTCTGCGTAGACCGTTATGCAGTCATGTGATGGCAAGAGTGCGAAGAAACAGGTCCATAAAGCTAACCCACAACAGTGGGGCCAGTTTACATCCTTGTCTCAACCCCTTACCTACCGGAACGGCTGTCGTCTGACCTCGAAAGAGCAAATTGTATTGTGTCTGCTCGTGCCAGCTGGCCGCAAGTTGCACTAAGTTGGATGGTGTCCCAAGTCGGATGAGGTGATCAAAAATGGCCTGACGATCTGCACAATCGAATGCACGGTTCAGGTCGAGGAATAGGGATACCCCCCCACAACAGGTCAGTTTGTGGATACCGGCAATCTGATTTTTGACTGTCCTCCGATATGTTGCCACCATCTCTCTAACTTGACGGCTGTGGCCCGCTACACGCAGGATCGCATCAGTTGCTGCACGGCACGGAAGGAATCCAAACTGGGGCATACGACTGAGTTCAGGGAAAATACAATCTTTGATTTTGGTGGTAAGGAGCCCCATCACAATTTTCCCCAATGGTTCCATGAGTGAAATGGGTCTTAATTGGTCGGGATGCGTGTTGGCCTTCCCCGGTTTGGGGAGGAAAAACAGCCATGAATCCTTCCAATTTTGAGGGATAATTGGGGGGGATTGCAACCACCAATATTGGAGGTGTTGATAAATGAACCTGGCCACATCCAATGGGGCACTTCTCCAAACTACCCCTGGCAAAAACGGCTGTGCAACCGATTTGTTGGTGTGGAGCTTTGCCACTGCTGCAACTAATTCCTCCAAATCAAACGGAATGCCGGGAGCCGTGGCATGGTAGGTGGGTAGCTTGGCCGGGCCCTGCCACATCGATTGCACAAATGCCACTGTCATTGCATGTGCCATGTATTGATCGGCGATCGTGCCATCAGGTCCTCGTAACCGAGTGCGTGCCAGCGGTTTCTTTGGGGAAAAACGGTTGATGATACCAAACATGGAGTGTGTATCATGCAATGTGGCTGCCTGTGCAACTTCATGGCACAAGGTGTTGAACCGGTCTCGTCGAGCCTGACGGGTGGCTTTCTGCTGAGCTCTTTGTAAGGCTTGATAGCGACTGCGATGGTGCCATGCCTGCAGCAAAATTTTCAGTGTCGGGGATCCTTGTTCAGCCGTCCGTCGGAGTTGCCTTTTGTGATGCCATTTGTCATTGATAGTGTCATGGACTTGATCAAGATTTGCCTGAGAACTTGAATTCTTTTTGGGTGAGAAAAACTTGTGAAACGCGGTCGAGACATGATCATGAATGTGCTGTATACTGGCTTCAGGTGTGAGATGTTGAGTGTCCGCCTGCAGTGCTTGAACTACCTGTTGTCGGAGTGAGTGCCAAGCCTGTGTCTCCTGGAGTCCAGCAAGTCTACACTGGCTGCGTTGAGCATATGTGCATGTTGGTGGGCTGGTGCAGGTTTGATATGCCATGTGTTTGGATCTAAACGAGCACAAAATGGGAACATGATGCGTGGTGTTGTCCGGAACAAAATCAGCCGTGTATAAAAATTGCACTTGTTTGGATTGTCCATCACATGCATACAACCGGATGAGAAAGTGGTCTATGCGAGATGCAACGGTGCCGTGAACAAAAGTGGCTCCTGAGGGGCCCCAAGTGTCAATGGCGGTCAGGCCATGGGCTTTCAGGATGTCCCGGAGGCGCACATGGTCATGGTGTCCAAGTCCGGAGCACTTGCGTCCCTGCCATGTGAACTGAGTAGCACCTACCCATGGATGTTGAGCCTCGAGGGCACAATTGAAATCTCCTGCACAGATCAAATTGTTCCTGGATGGCATACGTTGCAATGCCGAGTTCAGGGCACTCCATACCTGTTCACGTTTCAGAGCCGAGGCAGGGGTCTTGTTGTCGACATACTGATAGATGGCCAGCAAGTCCAAGGCCCGGTTGTCATAATGAACTCTGAGGTGAACAAGGCGTCCAGCCACTATGTCATTGAAGCCAACCTGTTCGGGTTGGGCAATGCGGCGAGACACCATCAATAAAATGCCTCCACTTTTGTGTTCCTGTGTGGCCGAGTGCACATAGATCCAGGATTGATCATGCCAGTGGGAAGAAAAACTCCATCGAGTCTCCGAGATGACCACCAGATCTACTGGATTCCGTTGCAACCAGTGTCGTATCTCCAGCCAGGTGGCCTGCGACAGGCCGCCCGGGTTCCAATGCATGCACGTAGTGCGATCTTTGCCAGAGAAGGTTGATCGCAAAGGTGCTCGATGACTTGGCACTGTGATCTCCTGTTGTAGTCGGCTGACCAATCCTTGTGGGAAGTCAGCTGGGGTCATGCGTCGCCCATGGTAGTGAGAATGACCATGGTACAAGGCACGTCGGCAGGCTCGCTTGAAGCTTCTTTTGCTGACAGCTGTATGCGGTCCACTGGGATGACTGGAGCGATTGCTCATTGGTGGCGGTTGTCCATGTTTCGCAGAGCTTTGGCAGAAATTGGAGATCCAATCGTCTGCTCCCACTGTGGATATGGTACCACAGTAACCCTCACCCTTACGGCTGGTGCCTTGCGGTGACCAAAAGTCTGTGATTCTCCTCTGCGGATCAGCCAAGGGAATCATACCAACAACAGCCGTGCCCGGAGTTGGGACCGGGTTGCAGTGGCGAGAATCCAGCAAGGTTGTCCAGGCAATTGCTATCCAAATTGCAAGCATGTCAAATCGTGTCCAGTTCCTGTAGTAATTGATGAGATAGTACAACCACAAGGGCAACGTTGGCCAGCAGGGGTGTACGTCTGACGACACGAATGGGGACAGTCAGTTCTGAAAGACGGGTGCCCCTCCCGTAAAAATCAAAAATGTCCAAGCCAAACTGTTGATCCAAAACTGTCAAAGGGCCAGTTGATGTGACGGGTGCCCAACCCCTGCACACAGAAGCGGCACACGATTATCGCAGGGCCCACAGCTGGTCGTCGTGGGGCAATGGCTGCAGCAAAATGCCTAGACCCGAGTGAACTGGCCTTGAGCGCGGTTCTCGCGACCGCAAAGGGCTTGTGTGTGTGTGGGTGTGGGTGTGGGTGTGTGTGTGTGTTTACAACGCTGCGTGTGTGAAAATGTTGGGCGTATGACAAACTTTTGTGTGATCAAGTTGTATGTGAAAGAAATGCTTGTGTGTGTGACAGACCGGGCGGGCCGGGACGGTCGGCGGACGGGAGCGCACAACAGAAAAATTACGCCAGCATAGACACCAGATAGAAAAGGATATTTTTTGGTGGCAACCAAGCGCTTACCTTTTTTTGCTACGGCAAAAAAAGTAATTTACATCAGGGCCCAACGCCTACAGCCATAGACATCTCGCAGCAACCCCGTGCAGCGGCACCACCACCCAAGCTTCGTAGCGCACACCGCACACTGAAAGCAGTACCCTGTAGCAAAACCAAGCTCCTAAGATGCAGAAAGCCCTTTGCCAGCAGTACCCTGCACCCGCACCCTGCAACGGCCCTGCACCAACATAAAGCGCACACACCACTTTAACAGCACCACCCTGAAGCAGCGGCACCCTCCAGCGGTGCCTGCAGCCAGCTCGAAAGCGCACACACCACTATAACACTGCAGCGGCACCAGCAAGCGAGAGCCAAAGCGCACACGCCACTCAGCAGCACCCCAAGCAGCACCCTGCAGCAGCACCCTGCAGCAGCACCCTGCAGCAGCACCCTGCAGCAGCACCCTGCAGCAGCACCCTGCAGCAGCACCCTGCAGCAGCACCCTGCACCAGCACCCTGCACCGGCACCAGCAAGCCAGCTCCAAAGCGCGCGCGGCAGTCTGACAGTACCCTCCACCACCCCCTGCAGCGGCAGCAGCAAGCCAGAGCGCAAACAACATTCTAACAGCAGCACCCTGAAGCAGCACCTTGCAGCGGTACCAGCAGGCCACCTCCAAAGCGCACACGTCACTCAAACAGCAGCACCCTGGAAGCAGCGCCCTGCAACAACCCCAGCAAGCCAGCTCCACCACTCTCACAAAAGCACGCTCAAGCAACACCCTGCAGCGGCTGCAGCGTCACCAGCAAGCCAACTCGAAACACGCGCGCCAGGCGAACAGCAACACCCTCAAGCAGCACCTTGCAGCGGCACCCTGCAGCGGCACCCTGCAGCAGCATCCTGCAGCGACCACCCCTCGAGCATCACGGAGGAGCAGTGCGCTGCATCGGCACCCTGCAGCGGCACCGCAGCACCTTCAACCAGCACTCTCAAGCAGCACCCTCCACCGGCGCCCGCTCCAAAGCGCAGGTAGTGTGACAACAGTGGCCCGGCAGAGCTTGTTCACTATGACCCCAAATTTGTCAGCGAGAAGAAAGCCAAACAACAAGGAGGCGGTGCACTTCAGCAGATGAGAGATGTCCAAGCCTTGCAACCCATGCCAATGCCATATACCATGACCTTTTAAGCCCAAAAAAAACCTTGGCAGGTGCAAAACTCAAGCAGCACCCTGCAGCAGCACCCCAAGCAGAACCCTGCAGCGACACCCTGCAGCGGCACCAAGCAGCACCTTGCAGTGGCATCTTCCAGTGGCACCTTGCAGCCGCACCAGCATGCCGCTCCAAAGAGCACACACCACTCTGACAGTAGCACCCCTAAGCAGCACCCTGCAGCGGCACCTCAAGCAGAACCCTGCAGCGACACCTGCAGCGGCACCAAGCAGCATCTTGCAGTGGCACCTTCCAGTGGCACCTTGCAGCGGCACCTTGCAGCGGCACCAGAATGCCGCTCCAAAGCGCACACACCACTCTGACAGTACCGCGTTCACTCTGACAGCAGCACCCTCAAGCAGCACCCTCAAGCAGCACCCTGCAGCGGCACCCTGTAGCGGCACCAACATGCCCGCTCCAAAACGCAGACATGCAACTCCTCCTATAATTGAAATAAGAAGCCCCATATATTCGCTATGTGGGAACAAGAACCCCACACAAAGATGTGTGGCATTACCAAGTTCTAGTGATGCCGGGACTTCCTATGTTTGGTGAGGCAAAATATATAATCCAATTTGTTGCCAAACCCGCTAAACTTACAAGCACGCCCAGCGGTCCAAGAGACAGATGGCATGTAGCGAATTTGCGGAGCAACCTCAAACGCTTTGGCAATGAACCATCTCAGTTCTTTTGTTCACAAAAACTCGCAGTCTGCAGTCTGCATGCAAAATTCAAATCCCTGATCAAATTTTCGCCGCCATCTTCATCATCATCATCATCATCATCATCACTTCATCATCATCATCATAATCATCATCATCATCAATTCTCATAGCTCAGCAGCATCTGGCATGGTCGGCATTGTTGCCACGCGTAGTGAGGGAGGCCGCATCGGTTGCACCAAAGGTGCTGCCATTGGCACTGGTATGGAACATCAACACTCTACATTGCCTACATGGTCCACATAATGGTTGTTCTTTTTACTTTCGCAACCTTGAGCTGTCCAAACATGTCACCGGCCATGCTATCTATTCGTACGGATACCAAAGCAATCATTTTGTTGACCCGGGTGTATGAAGTGAATGGTCTCCTGGTGTGTGGTGCTGCACGTTATGAACCAACAAATGTTCAAACACGACCAAGTCAGCACACTTGTCGTTGGAGGTTGCAGGCTCTTCTCTTGCGGCTAGATGGAAGTTCTATTATTCAGGTCGTTGCCCACCTTTCATGCTGAATGCTGCGATCTCAACATCAACTCTTTTCACTTAAAGTGCCAAACCGAATTCTCTCAATATCATCCACTGTGGATGGGCACCTATTCTGGCCTATTCTGGGCTAATACACGGCGGCGTTCCTTTCCGACTCTGTGGGTGGTTTTTTTCAAGTCTCCTTCGCGCATCGGCAGGGCATTGTCAACCCTGGACGCGACGGCGCAAGAACAAGAACAGCAAAACAACATTTAAGGACAAGGACAATAACAAAACAACAAGAACACAATTAATAACAAGAACAATAAGAACAATAAGAAGAACAAAAACAAAACAAAAGCAATGGCAACAAGCACAACCAAGAAGAACGACACCGAGAAAAACTAAAATGAAAAATGAGAAACCAAAAACAAGAACAGCAAGCGCAACGCCAATAACAGGAAGAACAAAAACAACATGAAGAACAAAAAAGGCAAGAATACGAAGAGTAACAAGAAGAACTACGGTACAGCCCCTACAGCCACTACAAGGACTAAAAGAGCTACAGCCACACCAGCGGCACCACCGACACCACCGACACCACCACCAGCAGCAACAGCAGCAACAGCAACAGCAACAGCAAACATCAACACCAACGGCAACTACAACAAAAGCACAATAACACAACATCACAATGGCCAGAAGAATGAGATAGCAACAGCTGCTATGACAGTTAGAGGGACAGCAGCAGCAGCAGCAGCAGCACCAACAACAACAACAACAACAACAACAACAACAACAACACCAACAACACCAACAACACCACAACCACAACACAACAACCACCACCACCACCACCACCACCAACAACAACAACAACAACAAAGACATGAACTAAAAAAACGCATTTCGAACTTGTGGAACATTTGTTTGGGACTCAGCGCTCACCAACATCTCCTCTCATAGGCTCAGTTGAATTGCGATTTCTTTCCACATGTGTTGCAAGAGATGCTATGGTTGCCCGTATTCTGGGCATATACGCAGGAACATCCATGCGTGTCGGAAACAAAGCCGTACAGAAAACAACTTGAGAGGGGGGGGACGAAAGGTAGGGGGGGGCAAAAGAGAGCAACAGGAAAAATATTGCCAAACTGAGATTGATACTTCTCTTCACTCAAACCTCCTGCAGAAGAAAATGTTAGCCCCCCAAAAAGCTTTGTGGGAATAGAATCAGAAACATAATGTCAAATGTAAAGTAACTTCACGCGCGCGCGCGCGCGCCGCGCGCGCGCGCGTGAACCATCATGCATGCAGGTGCCGCGCGCGCGCGAGCGCACGCATGTGCGGGACGTAAACATTGCGAGTCTCTATTCCCCGGCACGGCCTCAATGGGACTAGAACATCCACGATAGATCGATAGATCAATACATCGATAGATAGATAGATAGATAGATAGATAAAACTATAAATAAATAAATAGATGAATAAATAGATAGAGAGATAGAAGCATCGATCGATAAATAGATAGATCGATGGCTACCTTGATCGATAAACAGATAGATAAATAGATAGATCAATAGGTAGATAGATAGATAGATAGATAGATAGATCCAAGGATAGATAGATAAATACATACATAGATGGACAACTAGATAGATAGATATATCGATAGATAGATGGATAAGGAGGTAGGTACAGAGTCAGAGAAAAAGAGATAGAAAAAAATGCGGACCAGGGGGGAATCGAGTCTCCGTTCGTGACTCTCGGCTTTCAATTTCCGGGAAAGGAGCAGCCACCTCCCCCAGTACTAAACTAGTACTAAAGTACATAGAACTCAGGTAGCCTAGGCTACCTTTCGTGACCAGAAGAAAGACAGAAATCCTTCCCTAGATTCTTCATGGCAGTTGCCGCCTGCTCATCAAACCCCTTTGAAGAATCTAGAATCTACAGTAGCACGTTTCTCGTTCCTTGAAAAACGTCCCTCAAGCACTGTACGCACTCTTGGCAAGTCGTTGCCAGGGATAGCAGAACAACCCAGGTGAAACATCAGCTAAAACAT